GGATTTGAAATATTTATTGCCATCTCTTGTTGCATTGAAATATCCCTGAACATTTGATGGTGTTGTCTTCCTTGTCATTCTTTTCATGTAAAAAGGAAAATATTAGATTGAAGAATAAATACACATTATATTGGTCGTGATTAATGCAAATGTTGTCTAAATTAAAGTGTGGATAAGTACTTTATAATTTTCTACACAGTACAATATGTATTTGTCTATAGGAATCATGATAGGTAAAGCAGTAATATTTATTACAGTACTCACGTATCACACAATGGATCAGCTTCAAAACATCGTGCTTCTGTGTTAAGTAGGTGGCAAGCTGGATCTAAATAGGAATGCTTATTTTATATGCTTAAGGAGACTCTGTACATCTACTACACAAAAATTGACCTGCTTTTCTTCGTCTTCTGAGGACAAAATGCATTAAGGTTCGCTTTATTGAAACTAAACATGATTCGTAAACGGATTTGTCCGCCATAATCAATTTGACTCTCTCTATATCTGAGGTTCTCTATATTAAGCAATTCATTTACATGTAGTCCCTATTCATTGCAATAAATCATCCTTTATTTAGACGGACTTATGCTAAACAGAACTCGGTAGAGACAAATATAACTGTTGTTTTATATGTTCTTTATGAATTCACCTCTGCCCTTTATGGAGTCAAAGTAAATGTCTCAATAATTTCCGAACAGCCCATTCTTGTCTATTTCTAACTGATTTTCCAAACTATTCATGCACAGAGTAAGAAGAAAAAGCCCATGAATAGATTGCTTCTTAGACAACGCGTACATGTACGAAGGAGTAAAGGCAGTTAGAAATCTGAACATTGTTCAAAGGATTTTTTTTAGTCCACGTGAAAAAAAAAAATACAAATTCCCAATAATACTTTGCGGTGCCAATCGTGACTACTCTACAATTTTCCGATAGATATGGCAAGGTAGTTGCGATTGTTGAAGTGGATACCGACGTGTTTACTTGGGCATAACTTACTTGAAAAAATATAAACTAGGCTTTAAAGTATTTCCAGAGTGAAACAAGATGTGTTTGTGAAACACTATGCGCCCGGCAGCAACAAAGTACGGAAAAAGCTATTTTTAGCATTAAGGCCACAGTCAAGGTCACAAGGTCATTGACCTTGGTGTCATTTGAAAGAGCTTCATTAGTGAAGTATGCATACAAAATATGAAGTCTCTACCTTTCATGGGTCAAAAGTTATGGTGAAGGTTAAAGTTCGGGACAAACAGACAGACAGAGAGACAGACAGACGGACAGACAAACAGACAGGACAAAAACAATATACGCCCTGGATCTATCGATCCGGGCGCATAAAAAACTATCGGCTGTATCCTCAGTTAACACGAATTTGGATCTGAAATTATACATTCGTCATTTAAACGCTTCGGGTATTTCTGACTTCCTCGAAAACATCCAAGAAGTTCAAAATCATGCATGTAAATGTTCGAGGCTATTTCTTTAAACCAAAAAAATAAATCTCGGGTAGACAGTAAACGCAAGCTAACGGTGTTTACTAAATTTAAATCTTTATATGCATGTGTGCAGATGGAACCCATCACTAAGCACTGAGATATCTGCAATTCTGATACTAAGAAACTGAAGATAAAGCATTTAACCAAATCAGAAAAAAAGCTTAAGGATGACGTTTACTCAGGTTTCAAAAAACAGACTGGAAATTTTATAAAGTATAATATATTAAATCAAAAATTGTGTTAAATGGATGAAATAGCTAAATTTTAAGGCAATATCAAGTTATTTGAAGGAAATATACAGGAACAAAAGTCAATGATTGGTAATGCAAAGAAAATTCGGACTAAATTTTTATTTATTTTTTTTTTCATTTTTTTCATTTTTTTTTAATTTCTTGCAATATTAATAACAATGTAAAGATGAAATGTATTTTTATACATTATTTTGCTAAATATGTGTTAAAGCTCATAAATTATTTCAAATAATTGAATGCCATGAAATAAAGAAATTCAAAAAAAAATAAATAAAAACCATTCCAGGCAACAAATTTCAATAACTTGATCAGTGACACCATGTAATATTAATTCCATCAAAATAAGGGCAACAGGAGTAACCTAAGGTTATAAAAAATTTAGAGTTCTTATCAGTCAGATTTTTGTAATTTTCAATTAAAAATGGGGGGAAAATATAAATATGACAGAGGAAATTCAGACTTAATAATTTTCAAGTTTATGCCAAAACTCAAATCATTTCTTTATATGAAACAACGCTGTTCCATTACTTTAATATTTCATTATTAAAAGATTTCTGTTGCTTATAATATTTTGTGAGTGGAGTAAAACTTGATCATAGTATGCAAAATTACGGTATTTCCCGAGAAATACTCAGGGGTCACCAGCATGAAATGTAGGTCATTGACCTAGTTATTTGAATTTGAAATTTAACGCAAGAACCATAAATGTACAATGTGCAATAGGTGGTTTTTCGTTCTTATCAGTGGAATATTTAGTCATCTGAGTAAACGTATACCTTAAGTTTAAATATGACTGAAAAATGTTTATGGTATGATGACCTTCATTTTGGATACTTGAAATCTACATAAAAGCTAGCGCAGAGGGCTCTAACGACCTATGTCCGAAAAGTCTTTGTGTGAATTTTCAAAACTTTGACATTTCTTTTCTGACCACTTGATCTTAATTTTTAGGTATTAAAACAATACCTTTATATGCTTATTTTTACACAGGAGCACGTGCAAAAACAGTGTGAAATGCTAAAAATAGATCATTTTCAGACATTATTGTTCTACTCCAAATATGCGCTAAAAAGAACCAAAAATGTCAAATCACATTCGAAATCAACATGTATCTAATTTATATGACTTCCATCTTTAAAATAAAGGCAAATTCATTGTAATTCATTTCGCATGAAAAATTATAAAGGAGCACATTGAGAGTATCACCCCGTTTTTCTTGTCGTATTTTTTACAATTCCGACATGCATAACAGGTAATATCTCAAAAAGTCTTTGTGTGAAAATGTTGTAAATCATATTTTTTGAAAGAAATGAGCCCTCTCTTTATTTTAACAAGGAAAAAAGTATACCTTTGTGATAAAATAAACGAGAAATATGACGTTTTCTTTTATTTTCGTACTCTTCTGTTATAATTATTGACCTTTCTGCACTAAAAAAAAGGTTAGTTAGTACTGACAAACATCTGAATATAAGACTATTTTGCAAAAAACGAGTATATTGTTTTGATAAGAAATAATTTAAACAGATAAACTCTTTTCTTCTTCATTCTTATCATCCCCCCTTCCCCGTCAACAACCGACACGTAAGGGAACCTAGGAATGACTTTATACAATAAAATCTACATACACTATAAATCAATAAGTTAATATAGGTACAAGTACATTTCTTAATTTTTTTTAGTTTTATCCAGAAAATACAATTAATGGTTATCATAAAATTAAACAAATTTTCCTTATTTAAGCCGCTGTCTTTGCTGAATTTTATCTTATATTTTTTGCATTATTATATCAGCATATCATAGAGGTATTTCTTCACAACTGAAATTGCTATGAATTATCAACCAAAGGAAGAGAATTCTAAAATTAACAAACTCCATAAATCAAATAAAACTTTTTAAATGATGAAAAAATTTCCTTTTTGTAAACTGGGTACGTTTTTGATTAATAACAATGTTATGCCTATAATCACAGCTGCAAAAGTCAGCGGGAAAAAAAAACAAACGTCGCTATTGTAACGTCATATAACGCTGCTTTGACGTCGAACGACATAGGTCCCCCCTTAAGTATGGGTCATCTGACATCAAAGTCTAGACGTATCTAAGGTCACGTGCAGTTTGACGATCGAGTTCGACATAAATTAAAACTGAATAAGTGCTTCCGCCTTGAGGGTCACACCCTTACATGTAACAAAATAAAGAGTTATTCGTGAAATAAAATTAAATTTTGGGTGTCTTGAGCCTCCTTCATTAATATTGACAATGGCATATCAGGTATCATGCAAAAATAAAAAAAAAAAGTGTTTATCCATTTAATATTTACATTTGTACAGGTCTGTACTTCTAAAATGTTCTGTTGGACATCCCTTTGTGAATCTTTTACAGCTTATTTGGTCCAAGAATCCATTTCCGACCACTATTAGGCAATGACCTTGGTATGAAAAGTAGAGTTCAGTAAATGTTTCAATATAGGCAATATTTGTAGAAAAGAGAGAGGGAGAGAGAGAGCGTTTAATAAAAAAAATTGCAAAACTTACAGGTATAATGTTTTACCTATCTGAAAAAGTCCAATAATTGTCCTTGTATAACAAAACTCAACAAGAGCTGTAAGGCTTTGATTTGGAACGCAAACATATTGACTCCGTCCGTTCTCATCAATTCCACATTTTAGTCTGCTAGCTGCCTTAGTTGTCTCCTCTTTACTCAAAGGGCATGAATTCACGAAATACCCATAGTTATTGGAGGACATGCTAGATTAGGACAAGTCAGTAATATATATATATATATATATATATATATATATATATATATATATATATATATATATATATATATATATATATATATATATATATATTAAGCAAGCATTGTATATATGATACAAACACCAATACACTGCAGAAAGAAATTGATATTGCTAATGATTCATTTAATGTATCATATGTATACTCAACAAAAAAAGAAACGTATATTGTTTTACTCGTCAAAGAAATTTTTAAAATGTACATGGAACAACAATATTTTATATCATTAGATACCTGTGACATGTTTAAAGGAAAACATGGGGTTTTAAAACCCAAGTGTTGAATTATCTCCCTTGATTAAACATGTTTCTGAAACTATTGTTTTTCATGATTTCTTCTAAATCGGATTTCATTTTTTGTTGATATTTTGGATTTAAAGAAACTATTATCACTCCTATTAAACCCATATTTAAGATCTGATTGAAATGTTGATGCTGTAATGCCACGCCGAAACAAAGATGAACACAACCAGGCTAACGAAGATACTTAATGGAGCTAGGCAACAGGAAGTTGCAACTGCATTTGGAACACATCAATGGCCTTTGCAGCCGTTAAACTATCGTCAGAAGACCAAGAATCGGCTATCTGCAGGTAACCACACCAAGGCAGGTTCGTCAGACCCCCCCCCCCTCCTTTTCAGCACCTCACGCGATTCAGAACTGCTGTAAAACTGCTGCTACAATTGCTAGATGAAAAAAATCAGCATAAATTGTATCAGCATAAATTGTTCGCAAGAGACTGAGAGGAGCTAGTATTTGTGCACGACATCCGTACATTGGAAATCCAGTTGCGCTTAGACGTCGCAAAGGACAAATGGATGTTTTAGACGGTATGCCCCTAGAATTTGGAGGCGTCGACAATGACATAAACGTGAACTTTTCTACCCACAACACAGGACATGTTTGAATTTTATCAAAATTCTCTAAAATCACTAATAAAAGAATAAGGAGTAAACTGAAAACTTAGATTATCATGTTTAAGCTGAATATGCGTTTCTTTTTTGTTGAGTATACATATATGTGAGGGGCTTAGACTCTTTGCAGAAAATATGTATTTTTTTCTCTCGAATATTTGCCTTTCTACTGATGTGTTCATGTTTTAATCTCAATGAACAGTATATTTGTCTTCTTAAAATTAAGATTAGAAGGGAGTTCTTTCGGTTTAAAATTCAAATTTCTGCGTTAGATAAGATATCATTCAATTAACAATATTAAATCAATTTTGAAAAAAATCTAAGAAAACATTTGAAGAAAAATGGTTAATCATGCAATTAGTCATGGAAAAAATTTAACAGCACATGCATAGCAAAAAAAAGCTTGTAAAATTGTATAAGGACTTTGGTTATTTTTCTGTTTATAAGTTCATCTTTAAAACTATCAGTATTCTTCAATATTTACATTCGCTGTGTTTTTCTACTAAGCCAACTGTGAAATTGATTTGAAAGTCATTTTTGTGTATACTCACGCGTAGAAATATACAATGAAAAACGTGCGTTAACATGACGTCACAATGAGGCTGCAGCGACGTTAGTAAAATGCAGCGATAAAGGACAGCGAGAAATTCAAATATTGAGTATATTTTAGTTGCTTCCAGAGTTGTAAAATGTAAATATAAGGAATGTTTTTCAGTTTAGTGTGAATTATGGGTGTGTGAATCACACATACTTGCACATAGGCATATTTTTCATGAAGCGCTAGCGCACTTCATGAAATATGCCTACGTGACAAGTCTGCGTGATTCACACACCAATAACTCACTCAAAACTTAAAAACATTCCTTAAATATACACTTGTAAAAACATCTATGAGTACAAAGTTTATGTAATTAAATAATGGATTTTAACACTTAAAGATATTGTGTCATTAGAACAATCAAGTTACTCGATTTTGCAATAAATGTAATCGAACATAAGGATTGGAACCTTCTAGTTAAATTTTCCTTTTTCAGTTGTACACATGTATTCTTTACAAACAAACATTTAAACCGAAATGCTTTGAACAGTGTGTTTTGAATTGCATTTAAATAATACATACATTGCAGCTGCGTAATAATTCTAAAACGAAAGTTGACAATTTATTAAATTTTATTGAAATCGGGTACTTACATTTAATATGTTCGAAGACAACCCTCTTTCAATCATAGGATTTGTGACATAGGTCTTTAATTTAGCGTAACGCTTACCCTTTTGCTTCAAAACTGAAAACAAGCTACCCTATGGCAAAGACATAAAGGCAATCGATGCGTTTACCTTACGAACATTGATTTAAATTTAAATATTACAGCTAATTATAGCTCGTTAAAGAATGGTGGATTATCGCTGCATGTAGAATTCTTTGGAAACAGCCAATAGATCTCTTTAACAATCATTCTATTTCTTTCTATATTCATATCAAGACCTTAAGAATGGGAAGCCTAGCATAGGAATGTATTTATTAAAATTGATTGTATATTGTTGCAAAGAAGGGATTTTCAGTACTGTGAAAAATATATTAAAGTTCTTGATACCAAATTTACAAGATGTTATTGCAACTTCCGTCGTGGTTTTTTTTTGTTTGTTTGTTTTGTTTTTGTTTTTTTTTTTTTTTGTTTTTTTTTTATTACCAGAATTTAAAATGAAGTAAGGGATACATGAATAGTTGCACAAGTGAATACATGTAATATTATTGCATTTCATCTGACCTCAGAACTATTTTTGCCTTTCAAAATGATTGACATTCCGAAAGCTGTATATCGTTTGTATATTATCCTTTTTCAGATATTATTCATGAAATGATTTTTTCTGATTATACACATACATATGTATAAACTTTTCGTGATTTTTTTTGTGGCTATCAATCTTTGTTCTGCCATTATAGGATAGGAAGACGACTTAGTAGTTCATAAGAATACATATTTATGGAAATGGTTGCTTCTACGGTGATACGATTCCTGCTGCTTTTTATTAATCTTATATTGTCACACTGAGAAAATCTCTGAAATAAACACTTACTCCCAATTACAAATGACTGCGATAGATGGAATTAAAATTTAAATTTCTGTAAAATGTTCACTTTCTAGAAATATTGATCCGTTACTTTTTTGCAGAAAAGCCTTTAAAATGAACACTTTATCATAGTACAGTACCGTCCAGACCCAACCTGACACCCTAGCAGTCCCAGAAAGCAGTCCCCAGGACTGCTTTCGGACCGCTCTGGGACTGCTGTGGGACTGCTCCGGGACAGCTATGAGACTGCTCTAAAAAGCAGACCTAGCAGTCCCAGCAGTCCCAGCTGTCCCTGGGACTGCTTTCTGGGACTGCTTTGTTCACTCATGTGTGAAAGAGGTTCTGAGTGACATGATAGCTCCGCCCCCTTGTGTATTCTGAATTTGCAGACTCCCAGTTGTTTTGTTTACTAGCAGCAGAGAGGAGTTTAAACTATTAAAAAAGCAAGGATTTCTTACAATCTTTTGATAAGAAGTGATTTATATAGTTAATTAATATTTTCAGAGACTGTATATTGACACAAATTTAGTTTAGAATATTTTTTTAAATAAAGTTGTTCAATAAGTAAGTCAGGAGAAGATTTTTATTATACCTAAAAATAAACTACAGGTTTATGAACAAAAATATCTACATGTAGGCCTATTTTTTATTTAATGTAAAATTATGTGCACTCAAAATTTGCATTAATTGGCACTATTTAAAAATAATCATTACAGTTAGATATAAGATTTTTAATTGAAAAGCCACATGAAAAGCTGTACATGTTTTATGAGTATCACGCTTAAAAAAGTATTCCATGCAACCTCCAAATAAAGACTAACAGTTAATTAAATGACCTTGAAATAAAATTATGCTACCATTCTTCCGTAACCCGTAACTTAAACAATGTACATGTGGAACAATGTAAATAATCATTGGAGAATTTATTAATGAATTACCGGTAGTTTTTAATTTATAAACAAATTATCAAAAGGGTACATTTATTTTATAAATAAACAGTTAAAAATAACGGGAATTATGATTTATTTCTTTTTTGTTTTGCTTGTGTTTATTTACCTGGCCGATTAATGTTTATAAAATGGTATCAACACCCGCGGTTTCAATCGCCTTAGGGCAGAAAATCAGTGCGTGTTATTTGGGTATACATATCAGCGTTTCACATCATTGAACATGCTAGTCAACAATGACCCTAATTTCAATCTACCGGTATGTAATGCACAAATAAAATTGATAAATGAAATGTGTATGATTTCTTTCAGGGTTAATTAATTTTGAACATAATCTGAGGGATCCATCCTGGTGATGTACATTCTAACATTTACAAATAAAACACTTAAAATTGAGTATTTTAAAGATAGAGAAATCAACAATAATTAAATTAACATGTCAGTAAAAATAATAATGACTGAAAAATAATGCTTGGCAAAATTTAACAAAGATTTTTCTAAAAGCCCTAATACTAAAGAAAATTCTTTTTGAGTATCCCGATAGTATATGGAAATTGGCCATATAACGATAAGATCTAATTAAAACTAATTCTTACTGGTGGAAAATAATTAATTCATGTTTAATTTTCTGTATAAAAAATAAATACCCGTATGGGAAACAGTATCAATCACAAAAAATTAAGAAATTGAATTATTAATATACCCGATAATTGTGATTAAATATTCATGTTCAGTTTAATTCATACATGCACGTGTGAAAGCCCTCTTCCTTCAATAAATATTTTTTCAGTTTGTTTCTATGCGCGTACTATTCATAAATGACCACATACATGTAAGAATTCCTGGCATACTACCCAGAATCAATTTCTACTGCCTTTTATAGTTCCATTGTTTATTGCAAATCTCATTTCTGAGTTAGCTCAGCCTATTAAATTAATAAACCCCGCTCACTGGGACTGCTTTCTGGGACTGCTGGGACTGCTCTCTGGGACCGCTGGGACTGCTGGGACCGCTCTGGGACTGCTGTGGGACTGCTTTAGCAGTCCCAGAAAGCAGTCCCCGGGACTGCTCTGGACTGCTTAGTGTCAGGTTGGGTCTGGTCGGTACTGTATACCCACAATCATTTCGTTGTTTTGGGGGAATTCATAGAAAAAATGGCACTTTGAATTTTTTTTAAGTGCGTTAAATTTGGGACATACTCAACTCACTTTGAATTTTTTTTTCAAAGTGCGTTAAGAGTTTACATCGATATATTTTACCATGGATACACTTCACGCACTTTGAAAAAAAATATGTAAAAACAAAAATTTTGATTTTAGAGTTTAGTAATGGAAAGATTCTATTTCAGTGTTCAACCCCCCCCCCCCCCCCCCTCCCTCTACATCTACTATCTAAATTTTAGAAAGAAACGAAATAATGATATTAAACAATCACCTCTTTCTATTTCCCTTTTTAAACATTTATCAAAACCTAAAATATATAATAAGTCAAAATCTCAGGTCCTGAAGTGACCTTATCACCAAAAAATTATCCAACCAGGGTCAATTATTTATTATACCGATTATTTAAAAATATTATGCAAAAAGTCTCGTCTTCCCTGAACTCCTTCTACATTTTACTCAGCAGCCTAATCACCTTTTAGGGGATGATTTTTGGTGTCATGTAGATGTGCAGTAAGG